TGGCTAGGAAGTGGGTGCCTCCAACCATCTACCCATGAGCCTACGTCTCTCCTTTTTTTGCCATAATAGTGGATACCATCATAAATAACACCCTGATGGCCCCCTCTTTCGCTGATTCCTTTTCATCTTCCTGATCTATCTATGTTGGGGAGCTCCAGGACCTGAAACTTGGACCTCTTCTATCTATATTGATTTCTTAGAGATCTCATTGTCTTATGGCTTTAAATAACATTCATATGTTCCCAAATTTGTGTCTTCAGCTAGAATCTCTCCCCTGAACTCTAGGCTCATTTGACCCACTGCCTCTTTAACATTTCAACTTATATGTTCAAAACGGAGCTTCATCTTATTTTATTTATTTATTTACCTGAGAATATTTTTCTATTGACTTTTAGATAGAGTGGGAGGGAGGGAGAGAGACCGGTTGCCTCCTGCATGACCTCAACCAAGGCCGAGGATCAAACCTGCAACCGAGGTATGTGTCCTTGACCAGAATCGAACCTGCGACTTTTTGGTCCACAGGCCAATGCTCTAACCGCTGAGCCATATCAGCCAGGGCTGGAGCTTCATCTTAAAAAGTCAAAATAATGTTCCTGACCTTCCCACAAACCCACTCCTTTTCAGTCATTCACATCTTGGTAAAATTAACTCCATCTATCACATTGCTGAAGCCAAAAACTCTTTCGTAGTCTTGCCTCTTTTTTCTTTTACATTTTATGCTGAATCCCTCAGCAAAGCCCATTGACTCTATCTTTAAAATAATTTCCAGAATCTGACCACTTCTCACCAACTCTCAGCAGCCTCATATCCTCCCTGGATTATTGCAATTTGCCTCAGACCTGGTCTTCAGGCTTCCATTCTGGCACCACTTTGGTCTATTCTCCCTCGGACAGCTAGAGAGAGCTTTTAAAACATGGCAGATCATGTTACACCTCTGTTCAAATCCCTCTAAATGTTCCCCATCTCACTTGGAGTAAAACATAAAGCCTACAAAGCCCTACATTATCTGGCCCCTATTATTATCTGATAACATTGACCGCCTTTCTATTCCTCAAACACACGCTTGCCTCAAGACCTTCACACTCACTGTTTTCTCTACCTGGAGCATCTTCCCCAGACATCTGCATGGCTCTCTCCCTCACCTTCTTCAGATCACCTCTCTGTTCAAATGTTATCAAAAAAAGTCTTCCCTGACCACCCTTCCAATACTCCCTTGTCCATCTAGCCTTCTTTATTTTTCTTTTTTTTAATTTTTTTTTATCCTCACCCGAGGACATTTTTCTATTTTTTGTTCAGATAGAGTGGGAACAAGAGGGGGGAGGGGAGGGGAGAGAGAGAGAGAGAGAGAGAGAGAGAGAGAGAGAGAGAGAGAGAGAGAAACATCGATGTGAAAGGGACACATCAAATAGCTGCCACCCACAGGACTAACCAGGGCCGGGGACAAACTGCAACCGAGGTACGCGCCCTTAGCAGGAACCGAACCCGGGTCTCTCTGGACCCTAGGCCGACACTCTAACCACTAAGCCAAACTAGCCAAAGCTCTTTATTTTTCTTAGAGCACTCATTGCCATCTGACATGTATATTTTTCTTGTTTGCTTATTGCCTGTCTCCTTCATTAGAATAAAAACTCTGCAAAAGCAGGAATGTCCATCTGTTTATTTTGGGATTTGGGTTTTTTGTTTGTTTGTTTGTTTGTTTGTTTTTTAATTTATGGTAGAGAGAGAGGGAGAGGAAGAGAGGTAGAAACACCGAGAGAGAACATCAATCGGCCACCCCCTGCATTCCCCCCACTGGGGATTGGGCCTGCAACCCCAGGCATGTGCCCTGACAGAGAATCAAACCGGGACCTCCTGATGCATGGGTCAATGCTCAACCACTGAGCCACAACAGCTGAGCTATTTGTTTATTTTTTAGCTGCTGTATCCCAGTGCCAAGAACAGTATCTGGAACATAGAAGGCCCTCAGTAAATATTTATTGAATAAATGTGGCACAAATGCTTTTTTAATTATTTCATTATTTCACTTTCTTGCCAATTCTCAGGATCTTTCACAACAAAGTTTCCAGGCAGATAGTATTAAATTTTCGTTGAAACTGCTATGCCAGCCCTGTACTGTATTCTTGTACCATTCAGGATCTTGATGGGAAACAAAAGGCATGCTCAAAAAGGTTTAACAGAAATAAATTTAGCGAAGGGGCCAATTTACAGAGGTGAGGGCAGGGTTTGTTGCAGGCAGCCACTGCACATGATTAATATAGCTTCAAACCTCAGGCTGTCTCTCCTTCCTGACAAAGTGGACATTAAAAGTACTGGCTGAGCCCTGGCTGGTTGGGCTCAGCGGTTAGAGCATTGGCCTGTAGACCAGAGAGTCCCGGATTCGGTTCCTGCTAGGGGCACATACCTTGGTTGCAGTTTGTCCCCGGCCCCATTGGGGTCATGTGGGTGGCAACCACACTATGTGTCTCTCTCACATCCATGTTTCTCTCTCTCTCTTCCTCCCTCTCTCCCTCCTGCTCTATCTGAAGATAAATGCAAAAGTGTCCTCCAGTGAGGATTAAAAAAAAAATTTTTTTTTTTAAGGTACTGGCTAAAATTCTACCCACTGAGAAGACTTCCCTTCAATACTCTTTCAGGGCCATGCCTAAATGTAAGCAACTGTCTACTTCTAACTGAAACCAGCATACCTTAGAGACCCATTTGAAAATCAAGGCTATGCATTTTCTCCCTCTGTTAACTGTTTGTAGAATAAATCTCCATGAAGGCTTAAGTATGATCAAAAAAAGAAGAAAACAATACAAATAGGAATCTGAGCCACCAGCTCATGCCTTTACTCATACCTTCTGAAACTTCGAAGGCCTGTTTTCATATGTACAATGTCCATTTAACAATGGAATGCTACAGTGCACATTTGCTATAGATAACACCCTTAGGTTCCGTTGTCACTGGGTGATCCCAGTTTGAATTTTAGACCAGGGCCCAGTGGCAAATCAGGAGCTGCTTTTCAAATAGGAAATGATCATTAACAGAAGAGGTGTGACCTTACTCCAATAACCAAGGGACTTTGCTATAATTCTCCTACTAGGACGCCTACAGCACCCTTCCCTGCCACAGACAATCTGAAGTTCACTGGACTTACAATGCATAAGGTTCAAGCAGCAGGGCAACTTTCAGTGGAGCCTAGACCTCATGCAGACCCCTTCCTTGCTCTGGGCCTCATTCAGAACTATCAGCTTTATGCCATATCCAGTAAATATTTTGCAGTAGTAAACCTAAACCTGGTGTTGCAACTCTACATACAACCAGGTCTTGAGCGTGACCCTTTGCCATATCTGCCATGTGGTCACATAAAATAAAGATTCCTTAAGAATTCCATAAAGATTATGGGATCTCCACCCATACCTTGAGTTACAAGTTTAAGATCTTACCTTTATCTTTTTCTTCTGCTAGCACAATCAGAAACAGGATGCACACCCAACAATATATGTAATCACCATTTGAAATCACTATTTGTGGCCATAGCAACTAAGTGCCTCTGGGTTTTATCTCCTAAAGCCTTTCCCTCCACCAACATTCCACCCTAGACTATCACTGGTGATAGTCTAAGTGATTGTGATGCATCTCATGCTCCAGATTACTAGAGTCCTCTTTTCCTATGCAAGAAAATTATCTGTGTACTCATCAAAAACATGAACGATCCAATCCTAGGATCTCATTTTGGGAATCTATTTTCTGGGATCTCTTCTGGTACATTTACTGTATTTGTCAGGACCCTGGCAGGAAACAAATGGCACACTCAAAAGAGTTTAACCAGATGGTTGAATGGATCTCCTACATATTAATTTCTCTTTTGAGGTCGTCTCTTCTGGCCTATCTCTAGTCTTTCTTGAAGGATGGGAAATCACTTGTTCTCTTCCCCATCTGTCAATTGCTTGAAATATGGGAATTTGTCTGATGAGCTGGCTAGCCCCTCTTCTTAGAAATCCCCTCTTGGTTCCCAGGATCAAGAGGAGGGGAAAGATGAAGGGGGCTCTTCTGGGCCAGGCTCCCTCCAGCTGTTCCGTTGACCCAGGTATTGGACATACAAAAATGGTAAATAGAGCCCTGGCCAGTTTTGCTCAGTGGTCGCCCCACAGACTGAAGGGCCTTGGGTTTGATTCCCAGTCAAGGGCATGTACCTGGATTGCAGGTTCGATCCCCTGCCCTGGCCCGGGTTGTACAGGAGGCAACCAACTGATGTGTGTGTCTCTCACATCTATGTCTCTCTCTCCCTTCCTCTCTTCCACACTATCTAAAAATCAATGGAAAAATATCCTCGAGTGAGGATTAACAACAATAAAAATAAAAAAAAAGATAGAGAAAAGGGCAGAGCTCACTGAGCTAGTAAGTTGAATCCCAGAGGTCTAACATGTGGATCTCCTTCCAAGAAACAGCTCAGCTTGCCTCATGGGAGAGCCTGGTTCCCAGGTGATGGATGGGCAGGCACTGTGATGACTTGGGGGACTACCCAGGCTCCATAGTTGTTCTGAGGGCACCAAGAAACCTTCTTTTCCATCTGCACCAGAGAGAAGAGAAGAACGTGAGAACAGAGTGAAGAAAAGGGATAAACCTAGGGAAGGGACCACAACTCCTCACTCTGGCCCCCAATCCTGACCACCACCCCTGAAGGTCAGCTCTCTGGTTGATAATGCAAGTGCCACCAATGAGATGATAGTGCAGGCCCTCTCAAAGGAGCTGAGAACACAAGGTCCCCTTTTCTTGGCTAGACTACAGACTGCTTAAGTTCTCAGGGCTAAAGCCAAGGAAAGCAGAAAAGTGGGAGGCTGCTAAGGGGGGAAGAGGGATGGCAGGGTTAGGTTCCCAGAAAGAGGGGGCAAAGGGGAATCCACAGAATGAATGTTAGAGGGGGATTTCTGAGCAGAAATAGTGATAGTTCTGGGCTATAAATAGGAGGCAGTCGGCAATCACAGCCTCACACAGGCTTCCAGACTCACATTTCCAGACCCCTGCACACCTCACAAGGACACCTGTGACATTTCAATTCCCAGCCAAGTCTCAGCCTCACACAGCCTCCTGCATATGCTCAGAGACTCACTCACACGCACACTCTCACTGTCGGTCAGCCTTTGTTCACCCTCCATGGCATCCTATGCAGCTGTGCTACTGGCCATCAGCCTGCTGATTCTGTGGACCTCTCCTGGTAAGGCTGAGGGAGATTTGGGGGAGGGGTGATGGGAGAGGGAATGTCTAGATCTCAGACTGCTTAGCCCTGGACAAGCGGGACACAAAGAGTTAGGTCTGTATGGTTCAGTAAATCTGGGGGTGCCCTGTGCCCTGTGTGTATGCCTGTGAGTGTGGGTATATCTGGGACCCTGCATTCCAATGTGTGTCTGTCTCTTGGTGTATCTCAGGGCCTCTGGCTGCCCCTCTCTCTGCTGGCTCTATTTCCTACTGCCTCTGTTTCCCAGGCAGAAGGAGAGAACAATATATATTTGCTTAAGGTGGGGAGAATGAGAGACACTGAGGCAGGGCTAATAGTAAAAATATTTAACAATTCATAAGCTAACCCAGCCTTCTGCTACCCCACACCCATCCCTTCTCCATCAATTCAATGCTGTGATCAGCATTGACTCTTCATTTTTGGGACAGTTAAGACGCCTTGGGAGAGAGATTGGGGTGATGGGCTAGCAGGAAGGCATTTCTGGACCTCAAAAGAGTGGTTGTTTCCCAAACAGCTTAGAAGTATTTCAGTATATTAGACAACTAAGACTGCCACACACACACGGGTGTCCTGAATCCCATTTAGGGCTGTGACCTCCCTTCCTCAGGGTCCCTATGTCTTAACACTACCTTCTTTCGCCTATTGCCACCCCAGCTCAGGGTGGTTCCAACGACGCAGAAGACTGCTGTCTGTCTGTGACCCTGCACCCTATCCCTGGGAATATTGTGCGAGCCTTTCGATACCTCCTCATCAAGGATGGCTGCAGAGTGCCTGCTGTTGTGTGAGTCACAGGGAGGGGTGCATCTAGCCTCATCCCGCCAATCTACCCCCACTTTCTTGTCTCTCTTCTCCTTGCCAAACTCAACCCTTTCAAAGAAGCTCCTGAAACTGGCTTTCAAATGTGTTCCTCAGCCTCTGCCCCTCATACCTGGGCCTGCCGGGAAGCTGGGTTCCAGGGCTCCATTCTCTCTGACTTCTGACCTCTGACTCCAGGTTCACCACAAAGAGAGGTCGCCAGCTCTGTGCACCACCAGACCAGCCCTGGGTGTACCGCATCATCCAGAGACTGCAGAGGAAATCTGCCAAGGCAAGCCCACCCTCCTCAGCCCTGCCTCCCCTCTGAGTCCCTTGCCCAAGACCCCAGCCCATGACCTTGCCTTTTCTTCTCCCCCACCACCAGAACAAGCACTAGAGCAGTTAGCCCATGACAGCCCCCAAGGGAGCCCTGTGTCTGAGTGAAGGGATGTGAAACACTGCCACCCTGGGGAACCAAGGACCAGAAGAGAGAACCAGACCTCCAGCTCCTCTGCACCAGACCTGACCCAGCCGGGGCAGGGCCTGGAGTATCAGTGTGACTGAGTGTGAATGAGAGGGTGAGTGTGGCAGGAGCACAGCTTCTCCAAACCCAGACTGCACTGCTTCCAATAAAGCCCACTGGTATCCACAGATTTGTCTGTTTGCTGTTTGTTCAGGAGGCCCAGGATAGGAAGGGGAGATGGAATGGCAGGATCTATTTTCCACTCTGCAGCCTGAGTAACCTCATCGACCTCCACCTGTATTCTCAGGATGAGTTCCCATAATCAGGGCTCCACCTCCTGTCTATTTGAAATCCTGTCACACTCTATGGTTCAGCAACACTAAACCTGTGTGTCAGTTCTCTGAACAAGCCAAACTATCTCATGCCTCCCAGTCTCTGCTCTCTAAGGCAGGTGTTCCAGCATCCAGGTGTCTCAGAGATCAGGTGTCACTAGGGGGAAGGGAGTTGTCAGGAACCAGTTTTATGGCTAAAGGTAAAAGGGGACCCAGCTCTACTGCCTGGGGGGAAAGTACCCCTCTACCAGTGCTATTCCCTCTGGAACACCCTTCTCTCTCTCCTGCCCGCTTAGCTTCCCAACTGAGTCTGGATGACTCTTACTCTAGGAAGCATTTTCTGACCCCAGGCTGGCTTAGGTAGCCTCACTCCCTCCCAAGCTCCCAGGGATTCCTGCCCCTCTCTCCTTATAGCACCTATCACACTAAGTTATAATGGCAGGTTTGTCAGCCTTCCTGGACAGGGATCTTGTCTATTTGGTTTCCACTGTCTCCCTGGTGTTCAGCACACTGCCTGGCACAAGGTAGTCACTCGAATGTTTCTCTAGAAAATGAAGAAATAGGTGAGGAAAGGCTTGGCAGCCAGTGGTGAGGGCTCATATGTCCAAATAAATTCTGACCTCCAGGCCAGCCCTCCTCTCTCATCAGTCAGTCTGGGCCAGGGCCAGCTCCATCTGGGGCCACACTTCTCAGGATACTGACAGACAGACCTGGGAGCCAGAAGTGAGAGATAGGAGAGAAGGAGGAGCAGCCAGGGAAGCTAGAGCCATTATGCCTGAAGGAAGCCCACCACACCCTGAAGCCCACATGGGGTCCAGTGCCCAGGCAACACTGAGTCCAGGGGATTCACAGTGAAGGAATCTCAGCTTTGGGAGATTCTGTAACTCTCAGAGCAGCCCAGGCAGCTCTGGGAGGAGTAAACCTCTTATGCTTGGGCAATCTGAGGAAGCTAGCTGGCCTCCAACTATGGCCTCTAAGACCCAGTTGGGAGTAGCAAGTCTGTGGCACTGGGGTGGAATGGCAGCTGGAAAGCCAGACTGAGCATCCTCACCTGGCAAGAGTGGCCAACATTATACCAGATATAACTCATCTGGTAAAACACCAGGCCTGCACAGACCTGGGCAGACTGGGAAAGGGAGAAACAGTGAGGGGGCGGTGCCAGCCTCTCCTCATTGAGCTGAGAGCATGACAGCTTCTTCCTCCCTCTGCTCCTAGAAGCAGGTGTTTAAAACCTCAGATTTCCCAGGTCTTAGAGTTACAAGGAGTGGGAGGGATAGGGATAGTTTGCAAGAACAACTGTTATGGCTGGGAAATGTAGCTTAGCTACCTGGGCGAAATTACCCATCCGTTCATGCATCCATGCATCCATCTTCCCACCCACCCACACATCTATCCATTAATCCATCCATCAAGTCAGCCAGCCATGGAGTTCCAAAGGGTCCCAGCTGTGGATACCATTTGGAGTCTATGCCCTGCACCCCAGCAGGCAGGGGACAAACATAGGTGTGAGTGGGGCGCATTACCTCAGTTCCTGAGTTCCCAATGAAGCCAAGCAGAGGTCAGCCTATGACAAAGGCAGACACAAACTGTCCCTCTGGACCCTCAGGAGAACACACAGATAGAGTAGGAGAGGTGAGGGTGGGAGCCCGGAGGAAGGTGCTACCAGGACAGAGGTCCCTGGACACCATTTCCCTGCCACTGCCACTGCATGTTACAGGAGTATCAATCCCACAATCATGTTTCTGCCCCTCACTGTTCAACTCTAGGCAATATTTTTCCTTACTTCCCGCCAAGGCCTTCGTTCCCCCATCTGTCAGGTGGGGGTGTCTTAATTTTTAAGAGTCCCTCCAGACAAAGACTTGACTCATGAATCTCTGGGTCTCAGGCTAACACTTGTCGTTTACATGGACTTCCCTAAAGTCACACATGTTCAGAAATGTCACCACTTTCTAGGGCCATGGGGGAACACCGTTTGGGAACATAAGAGAAACTGAGGCTCAGGAAGAGAGATAATCTAGGAGCTAATGAAGTGAATGAAGAACCTGAGGAAGTCTGGAGGCAGACACCAAAGTCCCATAAAGAGCAGGTATGCAGCCCTAACTGGTTTGGCTCAGCAGTTAGAGCATCAGCCTGTGGTCCAGAGAGACCAGGGTTCGGTTCCTGCTAAGGGTGTGTACCTTGGTTGCAGTTTGTCCCCGGCCCTGGTTGGTCGTGTGGGTGGCAGCCACTCTATGTGTCCCTTTCATGTCGATGTTTCTCCCTCTCTCTTCCTCTCTCTCCCTCCTACTCTATCTGAACAAAAAATGAAAACATGTCCTTGGATGAGGATTAAAAAAACAAAAGAGCAGCATGCAGCCCTCCCCACCTTTTCTCCACCCAGTGCCTTTCCTCCTGGCTTGCTTCCCTCCTCTTTTTCTCACCCCCACCCACCAATCCTTCCTGGGCACTGGGTTTTATCTCCTTATCTCCCTGTCAGAAATATGAGAGTTTAGCCCAGCAATTTAGGACTTGTCCTGACTGACTCAAACATTCTTAGCACTGTGACTTCATCTAGTCAACATCTGCTCCCTGTTTCACTATAATTCGCTGGTAAGTGTGGCATCTTTATTTATCCTGAGTTCTGGTGGACCAGGAGCCAACCTGCCTCCCTGACAATGACGGAGCTGCCAGCTCTCTGAGGGGTGGTGCGGATTCCTAGCTCCCAACCAAGATACGGGGACCTTGCTGTTGCCTATAGGTAGACACCTTTCTCTCTAGGGCATATAGCACCTGCTACAGGTTTAAGATCAGCAGCTGAGTGATACTTCCCTACCCAGCAGCCAACATCTCCCTAAAGCGACCTGACATCCCTGCTCAGGAAGCTCCCAGCTTCATAGGTGGACAAAAAGCTCTTTGTCCTGTCTATTAATAGAGTTCCCAGAGGAAGGGATTGGACCTGTCAATCTCCATTTCCAACATTGCTCTGCACAGAGGATGGCACAGAACAAGCTCCAGTACACATCTGATTAACAAAAAATGGAACTGAAGATGGCCCTTTCTCATGGGGCCCCTCCATCACTCCTCATACCTGGAGCACATCCAGTTCTCAAGGCAGTGGTGCTGTCTCTGTAGCGTGGGTGTTTGGTCAGAGCCAGCCCCATGCAGTTTTGATCATATTTTCATCATCTCATGTTCCGTTTCTTGGTAAGCCCCATCCTGTGCCCCCCTTCTCTGGCCTCCGGGAAACTCGGAAACAGCCAGAAAACCTTGGAAATAGTCTCACAAAGGGGCAGGACTCCCAAGTAGGGAGTTTCCTTCAAGAGCCCCTCTGAAAGAATCAGCAGGCACCTCTCCGGTCAGAGAACTTCCTCGGTGGCCCCTAAGACTTTGCCCACATAGAAGGACATGGTTCTGTAGTACCAGCTAATTCACCACTAGTGCTTAACAGGTGCTGGGCACTGCTTTCGGTGCTCTTGTCATTCATATGTTGCAGCTGAGGAAACTGAGGTAGAGATGTTTAGTAACTTACCCAGGTTGGACAGCTGGTAAAGTGGTCCTAGCTGGGCAGTTTGGCTCCAGAATCTGTACTACACATACTGCCTCTCTTAGTTGACCCATCTCCTAAGTAAAAATGGGGAGCAATACAGCAGGGCCAGGTCTGAGGAAGCAGCCCTCAGGAAATAGGGAAAGCCATTATTTTTGGGCTCTGACCATGTGCCAGCCTCCAAACTGAGTCCTTAATGTGTATGATATATTGCATCCTCAAACAACCCTATAAGGTGGGGATCACCAGTCCTATTCCATGTATGAGAAAATTAGGGCACAGAGAGGTAGAGTGACCACTCAGCTGGTGAGTAGCAAAGCTGAGATTGCAGCCCAAGTCAGCCTGATGGGTAGCGCTTGAGTTGAGGGCTAGGGGCTGGGATGTCCAGTTGGGGTGGAAAGGCTTGACTTCCCAGGAAGAGGTGGGGCAGGGGGGTGCAAAAAGAGAAGCTGAAGGCCTTGGCAGGACCCCAGAGCTTGAGCCATCTACAGAGATGCCCCCTGGAGGGCCTCCAGCCTCCTGGACCTCTCCAGCAGAAGTGGAACTGGCTTCCCCAGAACCTCCAGGAGGAAGTAGGCACAGGTTTCGAGGTCTGCCCAGGCCTCAGTTTTCCCAAGTGGAGCAGTGGAGAAGGGGTCAGGCTACAACTATGCCCACCTTCTTACTTCTATTCTCAGGACCTGGTGATGTTGCAATAAAAATAGGAATTAGGGGCAGAGCAGGGCTGGGATCCAAAGGGTAGGAGTAGAGGCGGGACTGAGTCCTGGGGGTGAGGCTTCTGAAAGGGGCAGACCTGGCAAGGGGACTCTGAGCCAGCAGAGCAGAGCATCTAATGACCACAGGGGTGGGATGAGACTCTTGAAGAACCCACTTCTGAGGGGCACTTCTATCTCCTAAGTGGTTAGGAACAGGCAGAACAGGGGAGAAAGAAAAGGGTTAGGGCAGAAACTCTGAGGATTAGAGTAGATGAGGGATTCAGACCTCTAGCCCCGCTTTTGTTCCTAGGACCTTCAAGTCTTCCCCGTAGCTCCCATGGGGAGGCAGAAAATGTGAGCTTGCCTGGGTTCCAACCCACCAAA